CAAGACTATGTAGCAGCAAGGTAAAAGTCACAAGGTTTCTCTGTAGAGCTTACTGCAGGCTACAGGCTATGTGCGTGTACGTAAATACCTTCTGGTTGTTACCTGAGATCCTCTGAGAGCAGCTTGCTAGTAGGATTGTTCCACTAAATACGTAAAAGCATTTTCCTAACTTAAAGTCTGTGCAGCTCAGAGTTCATTGAGACTAAAACAATGTACACCTTTGTCTGTCCACCTCAGCTGTGCAGTGCATATTTTCTCTTCTTTCTTTAGAACAATATTTCAACCCAGCTTTTAAGCAAAATGCATCAGGATCAGAATACCTTATGTTCATGGTCTCCATCATTATATTAAAAAATGGTTGAGAAGGGGGAAGAGACATGATGATTAGATTGCACTGGGATTATTACTTTTCTCATTAAATGAAATAGACATTTCTAGTAAGAAGTCTGTGGAAACTGTAAGTCTCTCTGCGCTTCTAACTCTCTGCAATTCTCTTTTATTGGTAAGTTCCTTCTGAAAGCATCTCTGCAGCCCAGCAGCACACTTTCCAGCCTTTTGGATGCTAATAGAGAGTTCTGAGAAAGGGTAGTCCAACTGGAAATAGATTTTTCCAGGCATGTTTGTGGACTCTAAGGTACAGCACCACAAGCCCATTAATTCAAGACAGGCCCGTGGCCGGGCAGGGGCAGTGCCATGGCAAGGCTGGAGCCAGCACTGCTGTGGCATCGCGGGGCAGCAGCTGACAGCTCTGGGCTAGGCTGAGATGGGGCTGGGGCTGGGGGACAGGCAGGGACAGGGAAGGCTGGGAGAACGGATAGCCATATCCTGCAATAAATGGTATTATTGTTTATATCACAACAAACATTGCACTTGAATCCCAAAGCCTGTCTGTATTTAGGAAAACTGTTGACCTGAGAGGTCTATATGGGGATTGAGACATTAGTTTTGCAGTATCCAAACTCCAGTGAGCAAGAAAGCTTTTCCAGCCTGGAAAAAAACCAAAAACAAAAAACAAAAAAAAATCCCTCTCTTTATATATGAATGTCACTTTACGTTCAAACTCAAAATTGAGTGCTGCAAACTTGAAATGTTCCCAGCCAGTTTGGGAACTCTCAATATCTTGCTTATGTCTCTAGAAGTGGCAGCCTCCAGATGCTGGGGCATTTTCTGCCCGTGTCGGGGACATCAGTGCCTGCGGGTGGGCTTGCCGTGGACCAGCTGACTGCTGTGGCTTGCCTTGGTATGGGCAACAGCTCCCCTGCTTTCGCCAAAGCATCTGGAGTTGTTCAGCTGAGCAGGACCCAGCTCCCATCTATTTTAAAATGCAAAGCAGACTAAGGCAGAACAGCCTTGGGAAATGAGGATGTGAGGCTAAAACGTGGGAAGGCAGGAGGTTGCCTTGCTATGCAGGCCTATTCTGTATTCAGGCAAATACAACTGAGAAAAGACCAGATGAACAAGGGAATAAGGGAGAAAGGTATAGAAGTAGAGCTTTAAGATTAAAGAGAGAGAGAAAACAGGCAGGCAAGAGTTTTTTATTATATGGTAATATCAATGTGAAGTACAAGACCAATCTCCTCGAGTTTTCAAACAAAAAAAAGGAAAGCAAAGAGCGTTGTTTGGGGCGTTGGACTTTTTGGTTGTTGGGTATTTTTAAATTATAATCTATGCCAGAGTGAGCTCCAGCCTTGGCTCTGTGTACTAGAGGTCTGGTATTAATAAGAACTGTATTGTTTGTTTCAGTAGAAGAAGGCGCTGAGCGCCTTTAGTATCTTAGCTGAAGATTGTCAGACTGACTGCACAGACTGACAATACCGGTGGCCTCTGACAAACCCTGTCACATTGTCACTGAATTTCAAGTCTAAAAGTGGGGGGCTCCCTGTGCCTGCAGGATCAGAGCTCTGGCTCCCAACTAATGAGTCACAGAGAAGGATCTGGGTCTGCATTGTGATAGGAAACCCAGCAACAGCTATTTGCTATGAGTAACGGACAGGTTCCAGTGGAGTCCCATTAACTTCAAGCCTTACTCAGTTGAAAAGGGCCAGAAAAAAGCCCCTGACATTAGAGATATGTAGAGGAGTAGGGAAGGAATCGGAGCTGTGAAAATAAATGGAGCTGATTACGTGCAGACTACTTTGAAGGCAACCTGCAAAGACGAATGAATCTAATGCAGCCCAGAATTTGTGTCTGCAGCAAAAGATTAAATAAAAGGGTTTGTTAGCCTAGATTTTAAAAAGACTATATAGGATCTAATTATACATTAAAATGTGTCACTAAATATTACACACAGGAAAGAAAGGAACTCTATTATGTGTAACTGCTATGTAGAAAGCACTAGACTTTAGCCACCAGTGATACTCCATAAATTTATTTATCAGACATAATACATATTTACCTAAAGTTAAGTAGTCCCTCATAGAAACAGAGAAGCAAAATTTTTTGAAAATGTATAATTAAATATGCAAAGGTGTTAACTAAGAACATTTAATCCCTCTTCATTGGGAATGCGTTGTGAGAAGGGAAGCACAATTCAGATATCAAATTACCCAGACCTCCAATTTATTTTTATCATTGTTTCTAAAATCTGAAATATGGTTCACCGGCTGCTATTCAAATTAACATCAAAACTAGATTCTATTTCAGTTTTAGTGCAAACGGATGAGGATTCACATTACATCTAGCTTGACTTTCTTCCCTCTAATAAATGCTGCCATTTGATCCATGTCAAAGAAGATGTATTACGTTGAAAAGTCATTCATATGATATTTTTAGGAAAAACATGCAAGAGATGTAACACTAAGGTGCACTATTCTTTGCTTCTGTTGCAAAAGTATGGATTTAAAATCTGAAAGATTAGAGAATACAAGAAGTTCAATTTAAAATGTCAAGAAGCAAGCGCTGATTGTACTTCTTCATGACAAAATGTTCTAAGAGTCCAACAACTACTATAAGGGAAAAGTCAGTCAAGATCAAGTGCATCCCCCTAAGGGACTGGCCTAATCTGGGGGCCTCAAATCAAGGTGCAAGCAAGCCATCCCTTTGGAAGTACAGTAACCCCACCAACACCTTCATTCTCGCATCCTCAAAAGCCTAGGAAAAAAGTGGGGAAGAAAGGAGGGGGGAAAATTAGCATATGTTGACTCGATTCAGCAAACTTGTATATCAAATGTGAAGTGTGGCATTCTCTCCAGGCTCTTCTGTTTTAGAAATATTTAAGATCTGTACAGTTTCCTCAAGGTAATTTTGTTCTTCTTTGAGCGTGGGCCAACTTACATTGTTTTGCACATACTCACATTTCTTTAGTGTGAGATTGTTGTGGGGTTTGTTCCTGAATTAACAATGCTACCAACATACTGTCTGCCTCCTCTGGGACGCAACCTAGCCAGTATCTAAGGTCTTTGCTGAAGAAATGTTCAGAACTACCTCTGAGCTTTCTGGACTTGATCGAGGTGACTTCTTAAGTTTGGTCCAAGTATTGACCCTGTTAGACCACCTATGACAGTTCCCTCACCCCTTACCACAGGCCCACTGAAAAGGAGTTGTATAATAGAGGAATCCAAACCTGCAACTCTAAAGCTCTGCTTATCCTGC